ATAATATTTTGAATGCCCTCTTAAAAGTGGGGCCCTGTGCATGTGGTGTGAATTTTCAACTTTGTATCAGCACGAATTATTATTTAATTTTTTTTGTGAGAAGAAGCAGAATTTAGCATTAATTATTATTTTATTTTTGTGAGAAGAATCAGAATGTAGCATGAATTATTATTTTATTTTTGTGAGAAGAAGCATAATTTAGCATTAATTACTCTTTTATGTTTTGTGAGAAGTAGCATAATTTAGCATTAATTATTTTAGGACAATTGTTTTCAGATATTGAAAGCAAAGCATATATATCTACAATCATGGAAGGTGACAAAGGAAAATGCAGTAAAGTTGATGGTGAGACTTCGTTCGTTCTTATAAACGATGGACCCACTGTTGAAGAATTGAAATAGAACATAGAAGCGAAGCTTCGTCCCGATTCACCCTTGCTTTCTTCTTGCTGCATCTTCAAAGTTCCCGAGATGATTCGGAGACAAAAGAAACAGGCCTATGAACCCAACATTGTCTCCATCGGAACCTTCCACCGCGGCAATAAAAAATTCCAACTCTTTGAAGATGTGAAACGTTGGTATTTATATTGCCTTCTCGACTCATCCAAGGATGTGAGTTTGGAGAGCTTGATCAAAGTCATCATGGAGTTGGCCAAAAGCGCCCACGACTGTTACGCAGTAGACCCGTTGGTTGGTGATCTCGATCAAAAAGACTTTGTAGAAATGATGATACTTGACGGTTGCTTCCTGTTAGAATTATTTCGAAAGGCAATTTACTGTGACCTAAATGAAGACGACCCTGTTTTCAACATGTCCTGCATGCAGCAACATCTGTACCATGATCTTCTGCTGCTAGAAAATCAGCTACCTTGGTCAGTGCTGGAGTGTTTGGACAACCTAACTGCTAATAGCCCCAGCCAAAGAGGCTACTCCCTCACTTCACTTGTGCTCAACTTTTTCAAGCAATCCGATGCGGATAACCTGATGTTGAACCCCAGCTTCGAGCTCCCATGTAAGATTTTGCACATACTTGATCTGATAAGAGCCGTGATCGTTTCTGGATTAAATAAGAAGTCGCCTGAGGAAGAGCAGCAGGAAAAGAAAGAGCAGCAGAAAAAGAAGGGGCCAAAATTGCCTCAACGGATCCCAAACGCGACATCTCTTTCGGAGGCAGGCGTTCGGTTCAAAAAATGCCAAAACAAGGAAGAGGGAAAGGGAGAGTGCATAATGAACATAGAGTTCAAAAACGGGGTTTTTACAATTCCACCGTTGGGAATTGATGAGAGGATAGAGCCTCTGTTCAGGAACCTCATCGCCTTTGAACAATGCCACCACAGTCGCCTGCACAAGATAACATCCTACGCAGTTTTGATGGATAACCTCATCGACTCTAGAGAGGATATAGATTTTCTTTGTGACAAAGGAATATTGGCCAATTGGTTGAACCCGGACGATGCTGCCCAATTCTTCAACAAGCTTTACGATGACACCACCGTCATATGTTATTACTACAGTGGTCTCTCTGACAATGTGAATGAGTATTACAAGTCTAAATGGCCCAAGTTTATGGAAATATTGAGGCGTGACTATTTTTCTACCCCATGGAGAATCGTCTCTTTCATCGCGGCCTTTATCCTCCTGGTCCTCACCCTAGTGCAGACCCTATATACTATTCAGTGGCCTTAATTAATTTTTGCTTAATTTTTTTCAGTACTAATTACCAACGCTTAATAAGCTTGGATATCCCTATATGTAATAATCTGCTTTTGTGTGTGAGCTTTAGAAACTTGTGAACAGTAGCTTCTGCTAGCCTACTTAATATTTGTGTGTTCTGTTCTGTTATGTTTTGATGAGGGTGTAAAAACCCAGTTATTTTCTAGTAAAGAAACCTTGCTATTCTCTTGCCAGACTTGTACCTACTTACACACCACGTTTGGTCAACGCGTCATTGTGGTCATATGTTGACCCCATAACCTTTGCTCTTACAAGAAGCATAATAGTGTGAAAAGAGTAGTGCTTCCATTTCCATACATAAGAAGAAAAAGAAGATTGAATTGAACTGAATTAACTGACAAATGGATGCAAATGGAGATGGCACTCCAAATTCGTTGACGGGGCAATAGAAGAAGAGAGGGTGATGGATGATGGGTGTGAGTTTGGGTTTGGGTGCATTACACCCAAGAGGCGTAAGAGGATACTCAGTAGACTTGGAGAATCCAAGAGCGTTGATGAGTGCAAAGTAGTTATGATGGCCAGACGTCTCAATGGTGATGTAATTTTGGCAAGGTTTTGTCGTTCCCGGTTACAAGAACATATCTCATGTTTAATACATTTTATTTTTTATTAAATAAAAACTAAAATCTGTAAATTAATTTAAATCAAAGAGGAGGGATATTTCTCACAACACACACAAATGATGTTATCTCTGAGACCTCCTGTCTAAACTTTCGACTCTTTTGAACAAGGAAATATAACCAAAAGTGAGGCCTCATTTATTATATGGCATATCATACTAGGGAACTTTTGTTTCATGTCGTCCGCCCTTCATTGACTCCCAACCAATTTGGGCCCCTTTCATTTATTTTATGCCCTCCAACTCGTGAGCCCTAAAAAGTGACTTGTGTCCACTTCCATCATTTTACTTGAAATTGTTTTAAAGAATGTGGTGGAGCTTGTAAGACGTTGGATTATTCCAATTACCTACTTAAGTGGTCTTCTAATCATCATAGGGTTGTCTTGGGCTCAATATAGATCAAGGACTCAATTACCACTCGGCCCGTAGCCTTTGTATGAGTGTTTAAGTTAAATACATGGGCCACAGGGCTTCCTAATTAAATATGGACTAGGGTTTTTATTTCCTAATGCAATAAGGACTGCTTGAGAGTTTTTCTTGATGGAAGAGACTCCTAGGCAGATGCATATAAAACACAAAGTGCCCCTGCTCAACCGATCAAGCCAATCCACACAAAAGAATTCACCCCATCTAGAATGAGTGTATGAAGGGATCGGATTGAGGAGATGTGCTCTTGTATATTCTTGATGTGTGTTCTATCATGTGCAGTCAATAAAGTTTACAGAGCTCACTAACTATTCATTTGAAGACTCGTTGTCTGAGTGGGTAAAGTGATGATGAAGGTGTTGTAGAAGTGGAGTTCACATATTGGAAGAAATAATTGCACATCCATGGGAAGCCAAGAGGCTTTGCCTATAAATGGACTTCCTCCCTTCATTGTAATGTGACACACCATTAGAGAAGAGAAATGAAAGCACAGGCAGAGAGAAAGGAAGATAGAAAGAAGAGTGAGAGAAACGAGAGCAGAGAGAAATATGAGTGAGTCAGAGATATTGTAAACACTAAAGTTGTAGCTCTATTATTTTACATAGTGAAAAAGTTACTGCTACTGCTCTTCGAGGACGTAGGCATGGCCGAACCTCCTTAAATATTGTATCCCATTTACTTTACGTGCAATTCAATATTCTCACATATACCGTTCATTTTACAACACGCTATCAGCACGAGAAGCTCTCAGGTATAATTTTTTCTGCTGCACTATTATTTATACTACTAATCGTTGTGTTGATGGAAGGAAGAAAAGCAGTGGAGGAGCTGCGGACTGCTAGAGAGAGGAAGCTACTGACTTTTACAAGAGAGAGATATACGAGCAAAGCCACCGAAAAAATGTTTCGATTTAAATTTTAATCCAGATATGGACTTTTCTTTGTGATCAAACATTGAGCCAATAATGTTTGATTTTTCATCTCAGTCGCATATAAAATGTTTAATTTTGTATCGATTTAATACATTTGTTAATCAATTTGTCAATCCTTCCGTTAAAAAATTGACATAGCAAAGTACGTCGACATGAATACACACATATTGCGCCACGTGGAATAATAAAATAACAATAAAAAAATTTAATTAAAGTAAAGATAGAACAGAGGAACTTACAAATTAATTAAAAATAATAAATCTTTCCTTTCTCTTTGCGGCACTGTGGCTGGATTTTGGGAAGTTTTAACAAAATATTCTATGCCCATGGATATTGGTGTGTGATTTGGGTTTATGGTACAACTCTGTAGTTATTTGCTAGTTTTATCGCTTTGTGTTATTGCCTTGTTCAAGTTTTACCCTTCGTTTCCTTAATCTGAAGAAAAAGCCTATGTTGTTGAAAGGCTTTTTATATACTCTGTAAGGAAACGAAAAGCTTTGTTGATTGTTATATGCTGATTGAAAATGACAAACAATTTCAGATGCTGAAGGCACTCCCAATTAAGAAAAAAGAGAGTATGTTGTTGATGTTTATTGCACGTGAGGAGTGATTTGGTTTGCTAATATGCTCTATTTGTTTAAGTTGAGTTATTTAGTTCATCAAATGATATGTTATTTTATACTTCGAGGAATACCTTCTATGTTGGTTATCAATTTTTTTGTTCTTTCGAAATATTTAATTTATGTCATTTACAATTTAAATGAGCTATCCAAACATTGAAATTTTCAATTTCTGTCAATTACAAAATTCGACATACATAAATCCAAACACTGAAATCTTCAATTGCTAGAAATTGAAATGACGGAAATCTAAATTCCGTCATTTTAGAATTTTATGTAATTTGCAATTCCTTTATCCAAACGGAGCATAGCAGAATACAAAAGGTTATGAGAAGAAAAATGAAAATAGAACATTAGATTTTTTTTCGACAAAATAGAACATTAGTTTAATACAAGGGTTTTTATCACAAATGGTCCTTGAGGTTTATGAAATTATCACCTTTGGTCCTTTATGTTTTTGTTCTTACATTATTGGTCCTTTTATGCTACCTCACACATTAATTTTGTCCCTATTGTTAAGGTTCTGTCAAAATTTCTAGTAAATTGATGATGTGGCATGTATATGGTAGCCGCCTATCCAATGAGATAATGCCACGTGGATCTAAATAAAAAATTATTTTTTAAAAATAGTTTCACATTTAAAATCTAAAAAAAAATATTTATTTTTTAAGTTGCAGCTCTGCTTCGTCTCACTCCCCAGTTACCCTCTCTCTCACTCCCTTTGTTCTCTTCCCCTGTGCTCTCCCTATCGCCTCCCTCTTTCTTGCCCACAACTCGATCGCCCCCATCTCCACCCGCAACCTACGCCCAAACCCACCCTCTCTCTCTTTTTTCCTCTGTGGACTGCTTCTAGCAGTGTCAAAATTTTCAAGAAAATATAAAGTTTTTGGATGGGTTTTAATTTTTGTATTTAAATCTCTTTGGTGCGATTGTTTTAATGGTTTCAGTGCAAGCAAAATTTTCAACCACCGCCCACCACCCCTCCCTCTTCCTCTTTGTTTATCTTCTTCTTTTCTCTCTCTCTCTCTCTCTCTCTAAAAAACAAGGAATATATAAGTTGATTGTGGATCTACCCATAAGTTGACTGGGGTTCAGTTTATATGAGATGGATTCGTGGTGGGAGGCGTCGACCAGGGGAGGAAGTGCTGGGTTCGTGATAGCTGGTGGTTTCTGTACAATCTTTTATTTTTTTCGATTTTTTTATTCTTTTAATTTTGACGAAGATGGAGACAACCCATGGAGGAAGGAATATAAACAAAGACTCAGAGAATGTGTCGAAGAGTCCGATTGAGAGAGTTTAGATCCATTTTTTCCGGCGATACGGCTCCGATACGGCACCGATACGTATCCGATACGCCACGTGGCGTATCGTAGACTTTTCTTAAAAGTTGACTTTCCGATACGTCCTCGATACGTCCTTGATACGGTCACGATACGGTCATGATACGGCACCGATACGTCTGGGGGTAAAAACGAAAGTATTTGGAAACTTTGGGGTTGATTTTGAAAGTTATTTAGTATTTGGGGTTAAAATGTAAAAATAAAACATAGAATTTCAGATTGCTTATGTCAAGAGATAGGCTAGGTCTTGGACTTTCATTCAGACAGACGCCAAGCCAACCAAACAGAAGGAGGAAGGAGGAAGGAAGGCTAGGTCTTGTATTTTGTGTGTTTTGTTTAATTTGTGCTTTGTTTATGGAGATTTGAATGAAGTTATGTGTTTTGTTAATGTTTTGAACTTATTATGGATGAAATATCAATTTTCAATTTTTCTATTTATATATATTTTTTAATATATATTATTTTAATCGCCGTATCGGTGCCGTACCCGTATCCTACTTTTTGGAGATTTGCCGTATCGGCGTATCGTATCGTATCGTATCGCCGTACCCGTATCCGTATCGGTGCAACATCGCTAGTAATGCACGAGTTTTGATGAAGTTATTAGTATTTTAATGCCTATCAGGTCATCCGATCCTCAAATGATAGCCGTTAGATTCAATTTAAATGAAATAAGCGGTCAGATTAGGCTATCCACTTGGTGTATGCAACTTCCTAAGAAATACCGCAAACCAAACTGTCAATGCTGAATGAAGGTCTTAAAATTGCGTTTTTGTCTACAATTGGCCCGGATGCCAGCTTTCATTGGTCCCACTAGCTTTAATTCTTATTAATAACATTTTGAAGTCAAAATATCTATGTTCGTTCCACACTTCTTCTTCACTGTACAAATAGCCCCAGTTTCTAATTCCTTCCTCAATTGCAGAAACACTGAGCCCCAACTTCCACCGTCTGCTTCCACTGCCGTTGGGCTCTTGGCGTCGTCCCACCAAAGCTGCCGCCGCCTATTAGTGTGAAATATCTCAAATTTCAAGTCAGTTTTAAACCCTAAGCCCCAATTAATGATAATGTATGATGTTTTTAATTTAATTGAAATTAGTATTGATATTGATTTGACTTATTGGAACATTGATGATTATTTGTGTCGTCATTGATTGATATGAGTTTGTTTTATCAACACTCCTCATGTATAATTGAGACAAGGTATTTCTTTTTGGTCTATTTTTTTTTTTTTTTTTTGTTGTTGTAATTTTTACCCCTTGACTTCTCATAGTAAAATCTTAGATTCACCACGCTATCTATATATATTAAGGGCTTGTTTGGGAGTGATTCTGAATAGACCATAATTACTTCTGGGAAGAAGTATCTTCCACGTGCTTCTCCATGTAATCACTTTAAGTGATTCTGGGATGCTTCTCCATAAAATCACTTAAAACCATTTAAAGTGATTATATGGAGAAGTGATTTTTCATTGAAGTTCTTTTTAGCATATTCAGAATCACTCCCAAACGAATCCTAAGAAAATAATTGAAAGTACTTATGTTTATAAAAGATGGACGGCTCTGAGATTTTACGCGTCTTATGCAAAATGAGCAATGAAACATCCTAGAACAAAGACTTCAACAAATATAATAGAATTCAACCATATATATTGACACATCATTATTTACCTCTATTTGTCTTGATCTTATGAGAATGAACTCATTGATTTAGAGATTTTCTTCAAGAAAGGAAACTAAAATTTTTGAGAATTTAAGAGAGAGATATGGTGAAACTTGCAAAAGAAGGCTACATGGCTTATGCCGACCAAGTTAAAAAATAAATAAATTTGTACGCTGTATAAGGGTTGGACTATGTTGTATAATTATATTTACTGCATCTGGTCTGGAAAATTTCGTTTCGGTTTGCAATGGCAAACCTTATGTGGTACTAGTACAAAATTGGTCAACGGACACTGTTTTCTTTTTGTGCTTTATATGAGTGTTTTTTGTGCTCTTTGACTTTTAAAGCACAAATTAATAACCACGTTTTACAATTAAATATTTGTGCTTGCATATTTTACTCTCGCACGCCACTTTTCTTTTGGGTGCTCTTATTTTTTTTATGCGGTTTTGGGTGCTCTTATGCCCGTGGTTTTATATAAAGAAAAAAAAACAGAGAATTGTAAAACATAAAAAAATTAAAAATTATCATTGGTTAGTTAAGTATTGAAAGTTTTTATTAAATAAGAATAATATAGTAAATTAATATTTTTTTCATATGAAAAAAATTTGAATGTAAAAACCAAAACAAGAACATATATTATTTTCATGGGACACAACTTCTCTTTTTTTCTTGTTGGATTCTCTTTCTTAATTATTAAATAAATAATAAAAAACTCAGTTGGGACTAAACTTAATAAAATAACATTACTATACATAATATAATATTTTGAATGCCCTCTTAGAAGTGGGCCCTGTGCATGTGGTGTGAATTTTCAACTTTGTATCAGCATTAATTATTATTATTAATTTTTTATTAAATAAGGATAATATAGTAAATTAATATTTTTTTCATATGAAAAAAATTTGAATGTAAAAACCAAAACAAGAACATATTTATTTTCATGGGACACAACTTCTCTTTTTTTCTTGTTGGATTCTCTTTCTTAATTCTTAAATAAATAATAAAAAACTCAGTTGGGACTAAATTCAATAAAATAACATTACTATACATAATATAATATTTTGAATGCCCTCCTAAACTTAATAAAATAACATTACTATACATAATATAATATTTTGAATGCCCTCTTAGAAGTGGGCCCTGTGCATGTGGTGTGAATTTTCAACTTTGTATCAGCATTAATTATTATTATTATTTTTTTTGTGAGAAGAAGCAGAATTTAGCATTAATTATTATTTTCCTTTTGTGAGAAGAAGCAGAATTTAGCATTAATTATTATTTTCCTTTTGTGAGAAGAAGCAGAATTCAGCATTAATTACTATTTTATGTTTTGTGAAAGGAAGCAGAATTTAGCATTAATTATTTGAGATATTTAGTCATATACCCATTCTGAGCACTAATAATATAGATAAACCTTACATCATTTAATTTCTATAAACAAACCAAAAAAAAAAACCAAAAATTGACACCTTGCTCTATTGAATTTAATTTTGATTATTAAATTACTTTGATTGAGTGTTTTGGGTTTTTTTATGAGGTTTTGGGATTGAGCTTGTTTTAAGAAATCGATGGCAGTTTTATAATTTATAAGAAGTTAAAAGCCTCTTTGTTATGTTGTAAATGGGTTTTGGGTGTGTTTCTAAAGTTCATTTCATATTAGTTTTTTTAATAATTTGGGCTATATTGAGTATAATAGTGAATCTCCCTAATTATTTTAGAACAATTATTTTCAGATATTGAAAGCATATATCTACAATCATGGAAGGTGACAGAGGAAAATGCAGTATAGTTGATGGTGAGAGTACGTCCGTTATTATAAACGATGTACCCACTATTGAAGAATTGAAAAAGAACATAGAAGCGAAGCTTCTTACGCATTCGCCCTTGCTTCCTTCTTGCTGCATCTTCAAAGTTCCCGAGATGATTCGGAGACAAAAGAAACATGCCTATGAACCCAACATTGTCTCCATCGGACCCTTCCACCGCGGCAATAAAAAATTCCAACTCTTTGAAGATGTGAAACGTTGGTATTTATATTGCCTTCTCGACTCATCCAAGGATGTGAGTTTGGAGAGCTTGATCAAAGTCATCATGGAGTTGGCTAAAAGCGCCCGCGACTGTTACGTAGCAGACCCGTTGGTTCGTGATCTCGATCAAAACGACTTTGTAGAAATGATGATACTTGACGGTTGCTTCCTGTTAGAATTATTTCGAAAGGCAATTTACTATGAGCTACAAAATGAAAACGACCCCGTTTTCAACGTGTCCTGCATGCAGGAACATCTGTACCATGACCTTCTGCTACTAGAAAATCAGCTACCTTGGTCTGTGCTGGAGTGTTTGTACAACCTAACTGTCAATAGCCCAAGCCAAAGAGGGGACTCCCTCACTTCACTTGTGCTCAACTTTTTCAGGCAATCCGATGCGGATAACCTGATGTTGAACCCCAGCTTCGAGCTCCCATGTAAGATTTTGCACATACTTGATCTGATAAGAGCAGTGATCGTTTCTGGATTCAAGGAGACGTCGAGTGTGGAAGAGCAGCCAAAAAAGAAGGAGCCAAATTTGCCTCAACGGATCCCAAACGCGACAACTCTTTCGGAGGCAGGCGTTCGGTTCGAAAAAAGCAAAAACAAGGAAGAGGGAAAGGGAGAGTGCATAATGAACATAGAGTTCAAAAATGGGGTTTTTACAATTCCACCGTTGGGAATTGATGAGAGGACAGAGCCTCTGTTCAGGAACCTCATCGCCTTTGAACAATGCCACCACAGTCGCCTGCACAAGATGACATCCTACGCAGTTTTGATGGATAACCTCATCGACTCTAGAGAGGATATAGATTTTCTATGTGGCAAAGGAATATTGGCCAATTGGTTGAACCCGGACGATGCTGCCCAATTCTTCAACAAGCTTTACGATGACACCACCGTCATGGGGTATTACTACAGTGGTCTCTCCGACGATGTGAATAACTATTACAAGACTAAATGGCACAAGTTTATGGAAACATTGAGGCGTGACTATTTTTCTACCCCATGGACAGTCGTCTCTTTCATCGCGGCCTTTATCCTCCTGGTCCTCACCCTAGTGCAGACCCTATATACTATTCGATGGCCTTAATTAATTTTTGCTTAATTTCCTTCAGTATTATTTACCAATGCTTAATAAGCTTGGATATCCCTATATGTAATAATCTGCTTTTGTGTGTGAACTTTAGAAACTTGTGAACAGCAGCTGCTGCTAGCCTACTTAATATTTGTGTGTTCTGTGTAAGTTTTTCATGTATTTTGTGAGTTAGCCTTTTCATTATTATGAGGTGTCATATAAATAATAAATAGAGTCATATTTAAATTAAGATATTATGAGACTTTTATTCAGATAATGATAAAATAGAATAACTGTTTCATAATGTGGATATCATCCATTATCTCCACGTTTTGGCTAGCAGTTGTCTCTTAATAGGAGAGTCAATTGTATAAAAGGCTTGGTCTCTGCTCTCATATTTAAACGTTCATATTTTGTATGCTTGTCCTATTGAAAGCCTTGACATTTTGAAATACTGAGAGGAGAAGATCATCTTGTATATCTGATTATGGCTAATTCAAGTAAGTCTTATCTCTAATCGTTCTATTGTTTAATTGTCAAATTTGTGTTAAGGTGTGGTTTAAGTGCTAAATTGGTTCAAGATTATTTTGCATACAGTAAACCTAACATGTGGTAGAGCAATCAATTAAGCCTTAAACTCATCTACTTTGGTTAAATTTTATCAAAATTGTGTAATTTATGATTATCCTTGTCTCTTTTGTCTTTTTCCGCTGCATTAATGATTATCCTTGTAAATTTTGTATCATTATATTTCGATGCACTTGTGATGCTACTTGCTGATTATTCAATTCGATCAGTAAACATTAGGAATCAAATTCAGTCTCAATTGATTTGTCTAATGGTTTTTTGATAAATTTTGTTGATTTAATTCAATTAACAAGATTATTATACCGGGTTGATTTTGGGATTGGATGGGTTAATTGCCAATGTGGTTTATCTGATACTTTGCTATTTAAAATCAACTTTGATGCTCAGTTTGTAGTTTATAAACATTAATAGGTAGATTTTCTTCCAAAGAAGTTGTCTACTGGGTTTGGTTATAAACTAATTAATGTCTAGTGAGTCATGGAAAACTTGGTTAGTCTTATTTCATCTCACCCAAAGGTGTTGAATTTGTACTAATTCTTGTACTTCATGCTTGGCTATGCAAATTTTTGTTTTGATAGTTCGTTGCATTTGTAGAGTGATTTCTTGCCTAAAGGTGTGATCAGTTTCTATAACTTAAGTATGCTTATGTTATGTTACTATAATTAAGGGCCTGTTTGGGAGTGCTTCTGAAAGGTCCAAAAGCGCTTTCTAATAACTAAAAGCGCTTATGACAGCGTTTGACAAAAAAGTTTAGAAGCGCTTCTGGGTCATAGAAGCGCTTCCTGGAGAAGCACCTGTTATGTGCTTCTTCAGGAAGCACTCCCAAGTGCTTTTTCACGAAGCACTTTAATTTTTTAAGAAAATTCAAGATTTTTATAATAAAAGCGCTTTTGTTAGAAGCGCTTATGAGTAGAAGTACTTCCTAGAGAAGCATTCCCAAACGAGCCCTAATAATTAATGGCAGGTTTCAATATGTTAAACCTTATTAACATTGAGAAACTAAATGAGACCAACTTCAAGACATGGAAGCAACATATTGATATGAATTTGGGATTACTTGAGTTCACCATAGCTTTTAAGGAGCCTAAGCCAGCAGCCTTGATTGATGTCAGTAGTCATGGAAAGAGCAAATGATATGTCTTTGCTTATAATGCAAAATTCAATGGAAGAGCACATTAGAGGTGGCATTCCAAGCTGTGATCTTGCCAAGGATTATACGGAAGCTGTGGAGGAGAAGCTTAAGAGGTCTGACAAGGCTGAATCTAGTTCTTATCTTACTACACTCACTTCAACCAAGTTTGTTGCCCTATTGGAAGGATGACAGAAAGGAGAGTGAGAGAAACGAGAGCAAAGAAAAATTCTCCAAGAGAAATATCAGTGAGTCAGAGATATTGTAAACACTAAAGAAGTTGTAGCCCTATTATTTTACATAGTGGAAAAGTTATTGCTACTGCTCTTCAAGGACTTAGGTATGGCCGAACCTCGTTAATTATTATGTCTCATTTACTTTACGTGCAGCTCAATATTCTCGCGTATACCGTTCATTTTACAACACGTTATCAGCACGAGAAGCTCTCTGGTATAATTTTCTTTACTGCACTATTATTTATACTACTAACCATTGTGTCGATTTAAATTTTAATCCAAACAGCCAATCATGTTTGGGTGTTGTATTGGTAGATTTGGGTGTTGCGATTCATGTTTGCTTTGTCCATGCATGCGACTTTTATGCTGAAATTTCTTTGGCCTTTTGTGGCCTTTTGTCTGGATTAACCCTACGTGGTTACTATGCTTCCATATTTGTATTACGTACATCTTTGTGGTTATTTTCCCTTATGGTTAATGGTCTTTGTACCTAATTTATGAATACAACTATCCAGTGAAGGCCCTAAGCCAGGGCAAAAAGGGTGATAGCCCTGTTCCCCGGCTCAAGGGAGGGCCCCAACACTTTTTTTTTTATAATTTTTATATGAACTCATATTTAAGTGCTTATATAAATAAATTATCGAACTATAAATTAATTAATGCTACCAACTGTGGTTAAGCTTCATTTTTTATTCAAGTATATATCCCTAGTTCGAATCCTGTTGTATTTTCTAATAGACACAAATTAATGTGCAAACAACCAATTAAAAATACCCGCAAGTGTACGAATCTATTGAGGTATAGATTATGTAAGTACGGGGTCGATCCCACGAAGAACTGTCGGCTTCCTACAAGTTCTAATTTGAGTACGTAAAGAACACTTACTTAACACACCACAAAAGCACAATACAAATTGGAAACTAAAAATGAGTAAAGAAAGGTAAAAGAAAAGAAACAAAACAAGAAACCAAAGAAAAACACAAATAGCACTTTCTATCACCCTTTTATCACCATTTGGACAGATTCATTTCTCTGTTTTTCAACTTTGACCTCTGTTCAGTGTTTGACCTATAACTTTTCAACAGTTTGTCCAAATTTCACATTCTTTATATGGTTAGATTTAGCACAGAAAATGAAAGAACACATTGTGGACCAAAAGTCAAAAACAATTACGGAAACAAACAAAATTCAGTGAAGAAGACACACAACATTTCAAACACACACACACACACACACACACACATTTGGGTGGGGGGGTGCGGGGGGTAAGGAGTCAAGTAACAAGTCTAATTCATATTCAAAGATTGATTCTAGTTAAAGTATGATTAGGCCATGGTGTCTAGTTCTAACCTTGTGTTCCTAATTCCCTATTTTGATCATCAGTTGTCTAACCTAAAATTAAGCATTAGGAACCCATTAAACATAGAAGAACAATTTAAACAACCAAGCATGTATCTAATCCCTGTTGTCGAATGTTCATACATACTCTTCCTATTCATAGTTCAATTTGAATCAAAGCATGGTGTCTACTCTTGATTCAAACCAAGATAGCTAACATACAAATTCTAATGGTGATCAATCATTCAAACAAGTATATTAACTGATAAGCATAATGAATAAGAACATGAATCATGAATCAAACTTCAAACTTATAAACCCAGAATATTCATGTTAGGTTACATCGAAGCCCTAGTTATGAATATAAGAAGTTACATTGAAACTAAAACTTAGATAGAAATGAGAAAACATAAGGAATGCAATAAGAGTAGAAAAACC